GGGCTAAAGTAGAAAGCAAAGGTTTTTGAGAATGATGAGGATAACAAATGTACATATGTACTTGACTCAATGGATGTATGTATGGATTGTGATAAGAATTGTTTGAGCCCCCAATAAAATAATTTTTAAAAAAGTACTTACATGAAGAAAGCAAAAGGTCATTAGAAGAAGCAGATGAGTGCTATCCCAAGGTTATGAAACTGGTGGTTGTTGGACTTTGGTTTGACTCTCTTGCTTTAAGAGGCCCATCCATAAAGAGTAAGCTCCTCAATGAGATAGAGTGACAAAATGGCTCCAATCATTGATTCAAGCATAACAGCAATTATGAGGGTAGTGTAGGTCTGGGTAGTGTTTCATTTGGTTATTATTATTTGGAACTGACTGGAAGGCACCTAACAATATAAACAACAACCCTAACATAATAAAAGGAGTTGCAATGACCAATTTATAAAGTATGTACCTCTGAGAAGTGCAGAACTTTCCAGAAATGTAGGCTACAATATAACAAGTAAGATTTCATTCTTTTTTTTAAATCATTTTACTGGGGCTCATACAACTCTTATCACAATCCATACATACATCAATTGTGTAAAGCACGCTTATATATTTGTTGCCCTCATCATTCTCAAAATTTGCTTTCTGCTTGGGTTCCTGGAATCAGCTCCTCATTTTCCTTTTTTCCCCTCCCCCTCCCTCTCCACTGCTCCCTCCCTCATGAACCCTTAATAATTTATAAATTATTATTTTACCTTATCTTACACTGCCTGGTGTCTCCCTTCACCCACCCTTCTGTTGCCCATCCCCCAGAGAGGAGGTTATATGTAGATCCTTGTGATCGGTTCCCCCTTTCTACCCATGCCCCTCCCTCTAGGAATCACCACTCTCATCGCTCTTCCTGAGGGGTTCATCTGTCCTCGATTCCCTGTGCTTCCAGTTCCCATCTTTACCACTGTGCATCCTCTGATCTAACCAGGTTTGCAAGGTAGAATTGGGATCATGGTAGTTGGGGGGAGGAAGTGTTTAAGAACTACAGGAAGGTTGTGAGTTTCATTATTGCTACACTGAACACTGAGTGACTCATCTCCTACCCCCATCCACTACCCCTCTACAAGGGATGTCTAGTTGTCTACAGATGGACATTGAGTCCCCATCACGCGCTCCCCCCATTCACGATGATATGATTTCCCCCCCACCTTTGGTGCTTGAAACCTGGTCCCCTTGGCCCTTCATGATCACACATGTTGGTGTGCTGCTTCCATGTGGGCTTTGTTGCTTCTGGGCTAGATGGCCACTTGTTTACTTTCAAGCCTTTAAGACCCCAGATGCTATATTTCTCGGTAGCCGGGCACCATCAGCCTTCTTCACAACACTTGCTTCTGCACACATTCGTCTTCATCGTTTATGTGGGGAAGGTGCTCACACAATGATGGCTTTTGTTCTTTGGTGTCTGCCACCTGATCCCTACAACACCTTGTGTTCACACAGGCTTGTGTGCTTCTTCGCTGTGGGCTTTTTTGCTTCTAAGATAGATGGCCGCTTGTTTGCCTTCAAGCCTTTAAGACTCCAGACACTGTATCTTTTGATAGCCAGGTACCATCAGCTTTCTTCACCACATTTGCTTATGCACATGTCTGTCTTCAGCGACCATGTCAGGAAGGCGGGTATCATGAAATGACCATTTAGCTGAGCAAGGTGCTCTTGTATTAAAGGAATGTGCGTGAGGAGGCCCAATGTCCACCTGCTACCCTACTACTAAACCAATAAATATATGCACATAGGTCTATTTCCCCCATAATCATAAATATATTTACATATGTATATGTCTGTATTTAGGCTTCTATGTATGCCCTTTGCCTCCTACTCCTTTCCTTTATTTCCTTTCGCTTTCCTCCTGTCCCACTATCATGTTCAGGCTTCATTCTGGTTTCAGTAATTCCTCTCAGTTACCTTGCCCATGCTCACTCCCTACCAGTCCTCCCACCCCCTCCCTGTCACTGATTTTGTACCACTGGTTGTTCCCTTGTCCCTGGTTTGGCCAACACCTCCTCCCTTCCCCTACCTTCCACACTCTCTGGGACCGTTGGTCCCATTATTTTCTTCTCACATTGTTTGTCCAGCCTCTCTTATCTAGGTGGACATGCAGATATATTAATATGTGCATAAAATTGGGGATGGCTTTGACAGCATCAAAGTGGCACATAAGAACATGGTGACGACGACGGCAGCAACACTGACAAGCGAACGAACAAACAAATCCACTGACATGCAAAACTTAAAAGAAGAGAAAAAAGAAAAACAAAGCAAAACATAAAGACAGAAAAAAGGAAAAAAAAAAGCCTTAGTAGTTCAAGGTCTGTTTGTTGACCTTTAGGAGTGTTTTCCAGACGAGTCTGATGGGGTGCCACATCCTGGCCCGAAGTCCATCCTTTATACTCCCTCGGGACCTCCTTGCTCTGCTTCCCCTGCCGCTCCTTTGCACACCGCCAGCATTTTTCTTCAGTGTGGTGTGGTCAACTCAGTCCCACATACCACACTGTGTCTCAGGTGCTGTCCCGAGTAGGGCCATGGGTCAGTGCAGGATGTCGCATCTCGCCATGGTGCTGGCAATATGGTCCTCTCTGTACATTGGGGGTCTCTGAGCCGGGCTATTGTCCTCTGAGCTTGGTGGGCTCAGGTGTGCTCCGCGCCATTCCTCCTCCTTCCTTTGCTTCAGCTTCCTTCTGGGTGTGGTGTGGTAGGTCAGTTCCTTTCCCACACCAGACGATCTATTTTCATTTTCTGTGGTACTCCCTTCCATGGTGGGGGTCGAGCTAATTCTGGTTAGGGCCGGCGTATGGTCCAGTCTCTTTGTGGGTTCCTCCACGCATTATGTTGCCCTCCTGGTTTGTCGTGTCATGGTGGGGTCTGTAAGCACGTTACAGTCCTTTGGAGACACAGCCAATACTCTCCCCCTGAGTGGGTTAGTTCTTAACTTTATTCAAATTCTCATTATTTCTTAGATTCCTTAATTATACTAACAAGTATGTCTTTCAGTATCTATTAATCAATTTAGTGTGGTGGGTGCTACAGGCAGTACAAATGATAATGCAACACACACAATGAAATGGCTCCTTCCATTTTCCCAAATAGAAACAAAATACAACATGGAATTGACATGACCGTTTGGTACAAAAAATTCCTATAAAGTAAATTCAGGAGAATTTCTGAAGGAAATGGAATTTGAGTGTATCTTATGAAAATTAGGGGGTGCGGAGCGTGTCAGGGCCGAGCGGCGTCCTCGGCGTGGCATGAGCAGGGGACTGGAGCGGAGCAGCGCCTGCGTCAGATCCCATGCCCTAGCCCCGGAAGATGGGAACTGCCTCAAATCACCCACCTCGGATGACATCTCCCTGCTTCAAGAGTCTCAGTCAGACCGGGCTAGCTTTGGTGAGGGCACGGAGCCGGATCAGGAGCCGCCGCCGCCATATCAGGAACAAGTTCCAGTTCCAGTCTATCATCCTACACCTAGCCAGACTCGGCTAGCAACCCAACTAACAGAAGAGGAACAAATTAGGATAGTTCAAAGAATAGGCCTTATACAGCATCTGCCGAAAGGTGTTTATGACCCTGGAAGAGATGGATCAGAAAAAAAGATCTGGGAGTGTGTGATCTGTATGATGAACTTTGTTTATGGGGACACAATTCGATTTCTGCCGTGCATGCACATCTATCACCTGGACTGTATAGATGACTGGTTGATGAGCTCCTTCATGTGCCCCTTCTGCATGGAGCCAGTTGATGCAGCACTGCTTTCGTCCTATGAGACTAATTGAGCCAGGGTCTCTCATCTGACACTTCAAGTGAACCATCATTTCTGGTGGTTTTGATCTTTTGTCACTGAGCCCAAAGAGCCAGGGATTAGGAATTAAGATCATGCACAAAAATGCCCTTTAAAAATTCCTGAATGGCTGCAGATATTGGGGAAAGTACGTGATATTTTAGAAACTTAGGGGGAAAGTAGGACGGTATTTTTATGTAAAGCCTTGACCCAGTGTTTAAAAAATATAATTGTATTTAGATCCTGTTGTTGCTCCAATACATAGGAATTGTGTGACGTGTTACAGCAGCTGTAGATGTTTAATTGTGTGTGTTGAAAGATTTTATTAGGAAAAAGATAGTGGTTATTTTTCCTAAATGAACTTTCTTCCCCCTTTTTCCTACCCAAATTCTTTTCTGAAGTTGCTGGCATATGGGTCAAGGTTTTATTAAAAGCTACATGTTACAACACTGGCACACAAAAAAAGTAGTTTTAAGCTTGTTTGCACAGGTTTGTTTTTTTTCCATTGGAAATGGAATCCGTTGCCTTAGGTCTTTTAAAATAGTGTATTATTATCGTTGGGGCTGGCTCTATGCTTGAAAACCAGTTTATTTATAACCTGCTTAAAGTGCTATATTCTGTTTGCAGTTAGGAAATGCAGAATTTAAAGTGATCTCCTAGCTTGTAAGCAAACTGAGATGCGCTATCCCTTTCCTATAAAGAATGAGTTGATGTGTCAAGTAACCAACACTAGTCAAGTGGGTGTAATACACTGTGTGTTTTCCTGAATTATTTTGGTTGTTACTATGGTGACAATTAAGTCAGTAAATTTTAACTATTAAGATACCTGATTTATTGCACTAATTGTGCCACCATGACTAAATTTTTTTTAAAAAGGCATCATGGTGAAACTTGGAGCGAGCAAAAAATTCCTCAGTTGTAACAATTCTGATTTGTTTTCTCCCCTGGACCCCTCTTCTCAAGGTTGTGTGTAACTATAGCAAAAGGATACTGCATCTCATTACTGTAGTGCTGAGGTTATTGAAGTTACAGAAAACACATCTCAGTTTCTGTTTCTTTGAGAGCTATTTGGTAAGCTCTGTTAACTGACTGACAAGTCAGTTAAGTAGGGAGAATTAAGATTAATTATTTCATGTTTTGCACACAAATGCAGAGTTTGTATAACCTAACATGACTTCATAGTTGTGATCTCAGAAAAGAAGGAATTTCTCCTTTGTCTTTTTCTTGCAGTTAATGTAAGGGCACTATGAATCTCTACTTTTCTGAAGTGTTTTTGGTAGAGGTGGTCTAGTAAAAGATGTAATAATGTTTCATCCAGTTAGCATGTGTTTATTTTCCCTTATGTATTCAAAGGTGACTTGTTTGTTCAGCTCTGTGATACCACAGCTAAAAAGTCATTCATTTGCAAAAGGGGAAGCAGGCTTAACACAACAAAGAAATCAGAAGTGTTTATTATTTTATATTGGGTTAGTAATTGAATCTTAACAGTTTTCTACACACAAAACCCAAATATCTTGAAGTTTCTTCCTAATCAAATGATGGGCAATTAAAAGTACATGTCAAAAGTACTTTTAAAAGATTTGCCATTTGGCTGTAGTATTCTTATGTTGGGGAATTCCCATATGAGCTCTTTGTTGGAAATATTTAAAGATGAATTTGAGAAAAGTGTAAAGAAATGAGATAATCAGGTTCTGTCAAATTGTTACATGTATCTTGCTTATGTTTCTGTTGATTAATTTATATCCACCCAATTACATAAAGCAAATTTGGAGGAAATAAAAAAAAAGAAAAAAGAAAATTAGGGTAAGATTTTCAAAGAGTTTATGCATTCTGTATCCATGATATTTTATACAGATTCCAGCACATGTAAGATGAATAGCAGATATCTGGGGAGTGAATGCACACACCAACAGATGAATACAGACGATGTTGAGTAGTCTTTAAGTTTAGTGAAAAAGATGGTTTAAAGATGCAAAATTGAAAGTAAAAAAATATATAAAATCCTCTGTATTTTGAGAAGAGAGATGATCCATACACCAATAATATTATTTGCTAGATACCATTGATGTAGGATACTAATGATAACCCGAGTTTGTTCTTTACCTTTTATTTTAAAATAATTTTTTAAAAATAATTTTAATGCTTTCAAAATGAGGATGGCAATATATGTAAAATGTGCTTGACACAATGGAAGAATGTATGGGTTGTGATAAGAGATGTATAAGCCCCCAATAAAAGTATTTAATTAAAAAAAGAAAAATAATAATTTAAAAAAATATTTTTTTAAATGCTGGAAACCACTGATGTATGATACTAATAACCTGAGTTTTTCTTTACTTTTTATTTTAAAATAAATTTTAAAAAATACTTTTAAAAAATCCATGAGAACTCTGGTGGTAAAGTGGTTTCCCACTGGTCTGCTAACCATAAGTTCAAAACGAAGAGCCACTCTGTGGGAGAAATGAAAGGTTTCCCACTCTCATAATGAATTTTAGACTTGGAATCCCACAAAGGCTGTTTCCTGTCTTATAGGGTCGCCAGGAGTCAAAATCGACTCGATGGCAATGGTGATATTAACTTTGTAGATAGTTATATTTTTCTGAATGCATTTATTCTTAGACTTTTCTTTAGAAAAATGTGAATTGTTTTAACTGTAAAAGGAAGGAGAATCATTAATCCTCTAAATACTCCCTTAGGTTACTACCAATTTCAGAAAGAATGTAATTGTGCCTAAATACAGTAAATTGGTAGATAAAATGCCATTTTATAATAAGTTAATCAACGTTTTTGTCCAATTTCTTGCCTAGGTATAAAAAGAAGTAACACCAAACATTTGATTGACTCCCCATACTTAGGCATAGGATCCCATTTATTTATTTTTCTTTTAATGAACATTGCTGTTTTTGTGTTCTTCATCCCTTTAGCCCATGATGTAGCAATCCTATCTCAATCTGGCGATTTGTACTTTGTATTAGTGAAATGCTAATTTCCCACGGGGTTCCCTAGTTATTTAAACCTTAACATTAGCAAACTGCTAACTAAAAGCACAAAATGTGTTCAAATGACCATTTTTCATTATAAGAGTAACTGTGCATGGTTCCTTCAGTCTCCTGGGCTTCCTTCTCACTTCCCTCCAATTCTCAGGTATTCCTAATAATCTATTCACATTTCATATTATCAAACCAATTAAATAACTCTGTAACATTAGAAATTCTTGTTAATTCTAACAACCCTTGTAAAACAGGCATAACTCATCGAAACTTGCTCATTCTTAGATTTAAAAAATGAGGTAGAGACTGAAAGATTGTATTAAGGACAGGCAGATATATCAATTGGCCATGGCTTCCTTTATCTATGTACTTCTGTATTGAGTTAGTTAATTCTTTATTCATTCATATAACACTTCTCCTGCAATAAAGCATTTCGTATACTAAGTTATACTCCATCAAGAACCAGTCTCCCTGGATGACATATCCAAAATATATGAAATGAAGTCTCTCAATTCTTGCCTCTAAGGTGCATTCTGGCTGTATTTCTTCCAAAACAGATCTGTTCTTTGGAAGTCTATGTTACTTTTAATATTCTTCACTAACACCATAGTTCAAAGGCATCCATTTTCCTTCAGGCGTCCTTACTCAGTGTCCAATTTTCACATGCATACATGGTTATGGAAAAAAAAACATGGCTTCGGTCAGTTTTACCTTACTGTTCAACACTTTAAAAATGTCTTGTGCAGCATATTTACCTAATTCAATATGTCTTTTGATCTCTTCACTGCTACTTCCATGAGCATTGATTGTGGATCCAAGCAAGATGAAATACTTAACAACTTCAATCTTTATTCTACAATTATCATGATGGTCAGTTGTGAGGATTTTTGTATACTTTACATTGAGTCATAATCTATACAGAAGGCTACAACCCTTGACCTTTATCAGCAAGTGTTTCAAATCTTTTTAACTTTCAGCAAGCAAAATTGTGTCATTTTTACATTGCATGTTGTTAATAAGTCTTCCTGAAATTCTGATGCCACATTCTTCTTCATATAATCCAACATCGTTAATCTTTTTTGCAGCAAAAAGATTCAATAAATATGGTGAAAGAACACAACCCTGAATAACACTTTTCCTGGTTTTAAACCATGTAGTACTCCTTTATTCTGTTCACACACCTCTCTCACAATCCATGTACAGGTTACATGTGAGCACAATGAAGTATTCTGGAAGTACTATTTTTCTCAAGGTTATCCATAGTTTTTTTTGGTGCAGTCAAATGGCTTTGAATAATCAATAAAACACAAATAAACCTTTTTCTCACATTCTTTGCTTATAAGTCAAGTTCGATCTAACATCAATAATGATAACCCATGTTCCATGTTCTTTTCTGAATCTAGATTGAACCCTGTCAATGTACCACTGCAACTATTATTGGAGGATCTTCAGCAAAATTTTACTTGCATATGACATTAATGATATTGCTTTATAAAATAAAAATTCCATTAGGTACCTTTCTTTGGAATGAGTACAAATATGCATATTTTCTAGTCAGTTGGCCAAGTAACTGTATTCCAAATTTCCTTGATGAATGAGTGCATCTAGTTCATCATCAGATTATTGAAACATATCATTTAGTATTCCACAAATTTCTAGAGCGTTGTTTTGGCTAATGTTTTCAATACAACTTGTACTTCTTCCTTGAGTATCATACATGACTCTATCCATTATCATTTGATGCTTCTTGAATTGTTCAATAATATTGCTACATATGAGTCAGCATCAACTTGATGGCAATGAGTTTGGTTTGGCTGTCCCAATCATAGGCCCTTTCTCACTTCCGTCATCCCACTTGCAACTGTGATAAATTGATCTGCCAGCAATCATGATGAATTTTTTCTTTAATTTTTAATTTAAGATATACTGTGTTTGTCCTTGTGTTAGACAGGGTTCTCTAGAGAAACAAAACCAGAATGCTAATAATTATATATATATATATATACAGATAGATAGATAGCATAAGAAATAAACAGTTAATTAAATTATAAAGCAGTACAAATGGCTCAGTGCAACTCACACCTGTGAGACAGTTGTGAGACACTGGCAGTCCTTCAAGTCTTGAGGGCCACCGGGTAGTCCTCTGTAGAGCAATTCAGGCTAACTGGGCACAGGCAGCAAACAGTAAGGCAGGTCACCAATGGTCAGCCAGATGACAGGGTCTGACAGTCCCAAGCTCAAGAAATGTAAATTCCAATGGTGTGGCAAAGTAGGTCTTGAAGGAACCTCAAATTACAGTGACACAGTCCAAAGGTTAGGTGTCCCACAGGTAGTGTAGCTTGTAAACTGAGGCACAGAACAAGCAAGGGAGCCGCACACTGGTCCGATGATCAAAGAGCAGGAGACAAGAAAGGCAAGGATCGCCAATCCACTTATCTCGCCGCTCTTCAATTAATCCCACATGTGA